TGGCGAGTGTGAATATGATATGTCTTGGTGATTTTCTTTTGGGGTCTCTTCTATATGGGGTTCGTTGAGCTTCTTGGACGGCCAGCTTTTCATCTTTCATGATATTGGGAAAGTTTTCTGTCAGCAGTTGTTCAATGATCCTCTCTGTGTTTTCTGTTACCAGTGTAATTTTTAAGCAACATAGTAGATTTGACTGTGCAACCAGGGTTGAGAACGACCGTTCTAATTGATCCACAACCTCGAGCGGTCTTTCTTACCCTGCCTTGATGTTTTCCAAGGTGCCTTCTTTTCTAGAGCAGAGCTTCCCAACCAGTACTCTAAGAGAAGGCAAACAGGGTACCATGATTTCACAAGTAGGCCAGGCTGCACCCAGGCATGTAGGCTCCAACCCTATCTACCTCTTCTGCAGCGCCTGGGATGGCAGCCTGAGCAGAGCCAGGTCCGCAGCTTGTTCTTCACTGCCCACTACAGGAGCCGATAGAGGTGTAGGAAGAGAAATGTTCCAGTTGCCTGGGGGGCTGAGCCCAAGGTGAGGCTGATCAGGGAAAGGGAGAGTGCTGAGGCTGGGGTGGGTGGAGAGGCTCAGTTCCAAGCAGTGGCCCCCAAAGCTTTGTCTTCGAAGTGTCTGATTCTTTTGCCCTGAATTGATGTGCCATCTGCACGGCATCCCAGCGAGCTGCAGTTCAACTGCTCCAACAGTGCATGTGGATTCTGAAAATCAGTTGCATTATCACTTTGAAACACTTGAAGACATGGAATCTATTTGCATTATCACAGTAAATTTCAAGATTGTATTGGGCAACGAAAGAAAAGGGAGAACTGTTGTTTCTTTTAAATTCCAATTCCAGATGCTCATTTGGCAATCAGATGCTATTTAAATTGTTTTAACTTTTAGCACCTACTTGAGTGATTAAAGTTTCTTATCAATAGTTACTAGCAATAATATGAAAGTAAGAATTTTAAAAGCTTGATTCAGAATTGTTGTGTGGAATGTAATTAATGTCACTTAATTGTAGCATTTTATTAAGTCAGTTTCCAAATGTTAAAGGCAAATATTTGCTCTCAAGGCTTCAAGTGTATCAAAATTAAGAACTTCTGTTCATTCAAAAAACATAATAAAGTGGGTGAAAAGATAAGCCACAGACTGAGAATATATTTGCAACATATAACCAATAAAAGACTAGCATCCAGAATATATAAAGGCTGCCTAAAAACTAGTAAGAATAATTTGATAGAAAAATGAGAAAAATGAGACTTGAACAGGTGTTTCACAAAAGAGAACATCTGAGTAATCAATAAGCATCTTGGCTATGTTCAATATCCTTAGTAATCACAGAAATGCAAAATAAACCAGAAAATACTATGATACATCCACTAAATTGGATTTAAAAGTCTGATATTGATGAGGATGTAGAAAAACAGAAAATCTTATTCCTCTAAGTACTTTGGAAAGCTGGCCTTACCTAATAAGAATGAGCAAAGTCACACTCTACTCAAAGTGTGGTCCAGGGACCAGCAGTATCTGAATCAGAATCTGCATTTTAACATGATCCCCAAATGATTCATGTGCACATTATAGTTTGAGACTTGCAGCTCTATGATGTAGTAATTCCATTCTAAGCACGTACCTTAAACTCTTTCACATGTGTTCCAGACAGGAGCGTTAAGAACCAATAATCCTGGTCCACCAACAGTGGAATGGACATGTAAGTTATGGCACAGCCATATAATGGAGTACTATGTTGGACCCCTGGTGGCACAGTGGTTAAGAGCTTGGCTGGTAACCAAAAGGTCAGCAGTCAAATCTACCACCTGTTCCTTGGAAATCATAGGGAACAGCTCTATTCTGTCCTACAGGGTCGCGTGAATCGAATCAACCGACAGCAATGGGTTTATATTTGCCTTATTCTGGTCCTAGTTATTCCCTAGCCTGTGGAACTTAAGTCCAGTATTCACCTTCATTATTACATGAATTTGGTAAGTAATGAAAAAGTGCTCACTATTATTAATTCTGGAGCCCTGGTGGCACAGTGGTTAAGAGCTCCACCAGCCACTCCTTGGAAACCCTATGGAGCAGTTCTACTCTGTCCTATAGGGTCGCTGAGTCGAAATCGACTTGATGGCAACGGGTTTTATTATTAATTCTAGGTTTATTAGTAATCTGCTTGAGGAACAATAGTCTTATATGACACTCAATTATACCACCAGTTACTGAGACTTTTTATAAAGTAGAATAATTAACCCTAACATTTCAAACAGCTAACAATATATGTTCTTCAAGCCATGGAGCAGCTCCTCTAAACACTTGGTCCATAGTAAAGCAACCAAATTTTGCACTTGTGAGGAGTAATGTGATGTGGGTTGGCAGGGAAGAGCTATAAAACCATACAAGTAGGGAGAAGACCACAATATTTATGTCTGTACCTTAATCTTTTCTGAAGTTAAAAAAAAAAAGTATTTGTTAAATATCTACTCCAACAATTAGGGCGTTTGCCTACCCTACTATGAGACAATCGGAATTTAATTCTGTAATGCCTCAAGCCCAGTAGGTCACCAATCATCCCCTGGCCATAATGTGGTGTTGCTGGCTGCCATCCAGTCAGTTTTGACTCATAGCGACCCCATGTGACAGAGCAGAATCGCCCTATAGGGTTTTCTAGGCTGTAATCTTTACAGGACCAGATCGCCAGGTCTTTCTCCTGAGGAGCTGCTGGGTAGGTTTGAACCACCTACCTTTTGGTTTGCAGCTGAGCACTGAACCATTTTACCACCAGGGCCTCCTTAAGTTAGTGGCCTACTAGGTTCCTAAAGCGATCAAGAGTATATGATAATACTTAGAACATTACATATCATAATGGCCACTCCTCATTTATTTTGAAAGCTATTCAAAGATACCACAAAGTTTTAAAAGGGGTAAAATTAATATTTTATTGTCATTTATAATCAGATGGCAGTTCGCAGCCGATGGCTGGCTATGTTTTCAGAAAACATGATTAGCTTAATTTATTAATGGTGGCTTCAAGTTCTTCCTTATTAGCACCAGAAAATTCACCCACCTGTTAAGAGAATATTGAATTGATGTTAGATGTAGCATTATATTCCCATTCTGTGCACAAAATATGATGATAGAATGGGGGAAGGATGCAGGGAAGAGAAAAGTGTAATCTTATTTAAAATAAAGGAAAAGTATCCCTGAGGGACATCAAAGGCTCAAATATAATTTTTTTTTACACGAATACCTCTTAACAGCTACTTACGAACAACCCAAGTCTAACGAATTCTATGCATTTTATGATATAAACATGAAGCACCAGTCACAGGGATTCAGTGACTAGTTCTAGCAAAGATCAATTTTCAATTAGATGTAATATTATGTGCTTAAATCAGAAAAGAATGACCTATTTAAGTATTCTTACAAGTTGAAGTAGTGACATGCTTGCTATTGGGGGACAAATTACCTCTGTTGTACTTTTCCCATATTTCCCTATTTCCCATTTAGTGTTCTTAAAAGGTCAGATGCACATACCTTTAATCCCTTTTTATAAAACTGAAACGTGGGCATGCATTTGACTTCACATTCTGAAGCAACATCCTGGGGGAGGGGAGCAGAGGGAAGAGGACAAAAAGACCATGAGTATAAAGCTTTGACAGAAATAATCCAAAACTAGATTCTTTTTCCTGTTATATACCCCACATGTCAGCATTAGGACATTTTTATTGGCATATGAAAATCAATAGAATGAATACAATGGTGGCACAAGAGCCAAACTGGTTATATTCTCAAGTAATTAAAACTTATTAACATCTACCCTCCTCGAGGGACATGAACAGGTCCGTAAACTGTTTAATCCGATTAAGACTGTGGCTACTTTAAGTATTCCAAAGAAGCAGTAACAAATTCTGCTGTTAACTGGACTCAGGATTTCAATCTTAACTACTTCTCAGAATTAGAACCTCTTTTCTTTGCTCATAGTTTTCCTAGTTCTTGAATATTGGGGTGGGGATACACAGACGATGATTTAAGGGCTAAAGTCCAAACACAGCAAGATGAACAAAACCTTATTTGCACAAGAACTGTCCAAGAACAAAATTACAGCAATCTAGAGACAGCATCACACAGTTTTTTCTGCTTCTTCAGTTTTATTTTTTTGGTGTGTATGTAAATACATATGTAAAAAATCACTTGACTTTTAAACGTTTTTCATGTGCATTCTTGTTTATTTTTAGTTAAAAATTCACTTTGGGTTCTGCAAACTTGGCTGCATATCAGCATTACCTGAGGGATACTACTAGCCATCCCTCCTCCTTAATTCACTGTAGTTCAGGCTGGGCCCCAGGTGACTCTAATATTCTAACCTTTAGGAACCACTCTGATAAGAGCAAAATGGGCAAACTCCTGGCATCACATATTGAGCTAGCTGACACTTCCCTTCTCCCAGATGGGGCTCTTACCACAATGAAAGACTTTTCTGCACCTCAAAGGTAACTGAAGTAATAAGCATTCCTCCATTTTGTTACAGGAACACATAATAAGAGCTTATATAATACCCCATTCTCAATACATTGTTCACTTGTAAGAGGACAAGGTTTGGAGGGAAATGCCACGCAACTGGCTTGGTTTGGACAAGCATTTTAGGCAAAGAGGTTCCAGAGAGATGGAAAATATCAGCCTGGTGCTCAAGAAGGCTGCAAATGGAACGAGGAACCACTAAGCACCTAAGCAGTAGAAGCTGTAAAGGGCCAGAAACTAGGCAGGCAGAACTAAGAACCAGATCATGGAAACCAAAGAACTTTCAAGGGAAGAGAGGTCTAACTACAAATACTGCGGTGACTTCTAGCTTGTTTCTGGAGTATCGGGTCCTGGGATTAGAAATGGAGATGTCTCTGTGATGAGAAGCCACCAGAACAGCACCACTTCTGGTGTAACTTCACCTCTTCCTCTGATACAGAAAAGCAAAGTATGGCTTTACATCTTTATGAATATGCATGTGTATATTTGCTAGCTTGGACGAGAACAATGCTGTGCACTATTGTTGAAGAGTTCTTTCCAGATAACCTTTACTTTTTCTTTAAATGCTGGACGATGACCTGCTGAGCATGAAAGCACAGGTTCTGTACAAAGGTTCCTCCCCCCACTTAATGTTTTTTTGTGAACACTCTGGAATTTAAAAAAATTTACATACAGTAAAACCCTTTTGGGGGTGTACAAGTTCTGTGAGTTTTGACAGAAGTATAGTCATATAACCGCCACTTCAATCAGGATAGAGAACAGATTCCTGGCTCCCAGAAATCCCCTTTTGCCAGCCCTTTGTAGTCAAACCCTCTCCCCACCCCTAGCCCTTGCAACCACTGATCTGTTCTCTATCCCTAGAATTTGGCCTAATCAGGGATTCTGAAACAAAGTTTTTATTAGTAAGTTCAGGCGACTACATTTATCCTTATTAAACTTCATTTTATTGGTTTCCAGCTTAGTACTCCATATAGTGAAAATAAGTTTAACTTTGCTTTTGTCACTTCTATTAACTCATTCCTGCCTATTCTAATAAAAATTGAGACACACAGCATTTTAAAAATGCTGGGATCTGAATTATTTTGTTTCTGTTTTAATTTACAAAATAAGCATCATACCATCTAGAGAGTTGAAAATACAGTCTGTTGTCAAAGAAATAAGGTCAGACTATCATTTTCAAAAGGGCAAGTACCCACACTTTCCTATGACTATAAAATCAATCTTGTATACCACTTTATATGTCCATACCTAATTGTCCTTTTGAATCCATTACACCTAAAAGATAATGTCTTACTGCCCAAGTGTTTAGGGACATTCTATGAAAACCTATATGCTACTTAATCGTTAAAACACAGGCAAGCAAAGTTAAAGTTCTCCAATTTGTGACAGGGTCACTTCAAGGTTAAGAAAGACATGTTCAGGATGATGATGAGTGTGTCCCAAACACATACTGTCACAAGGAGCCCTAGACTGCTCTGCCAAGCCACTTTCCAAAGGTAGGAAGAGCACCCATCCTTATACAGTACGGTGCAGTGGTCAAGCACACAGGCTTTGCCCCGACTGAGCTGCTCCACCTTCTGCGCTGCAGCTGTATTATCTGTTCAGTGGGGATGCTAACAGAACCTCTTCTCACGGTTACTGTGAAGACTAAATGAGCTAATAATGCACGCAAAGGGCTTACCCTAGCATCTAGGACATGCTAGTTATTACTTTCAGATGAAAATTAAAGTAGTTGTCTGATAGGGTTACATGCCAGTTAGAAGTTTTTCTAGTCCTTTCCAGGTGCAATTTCAAACTAGCTAAGGTGACCATATGAAAAATAAGTCTTAGGTTAAAACAGAGAGCAACGGCTTTGTTCACAAACATGTGCAATTCTGCCCTCTCCTTTAAAAAAAAAAACTGGGCCCCAGGGGACTTCCGGCAAAATGGAGCTCTAGGCAGAAGCACCATGCTGTCCCTTCACAACAAAGATCCGAAAAACTAAGCCGAACAGAGAAAACAACAATCCTGAAACCCTAAAACATCAAATGAAGAGATAAAGAACTTAGCCAAGCATCAAACAGAGTGAGGTAACTGACACAGAACGGACAGCGAGGAGAGATTCATGCAGATGTCCCCTATCAGCTAATGCAGCGCGGATCCACCATCTTGGACTCCTACCAGAGACCAGCAAACAGAGGGTACGAGAAAGCAGCTTCATGGAGCTTCCAGCGGGAGACAAAACAACCAGTAACTGGCGATATACGCTTTCCCACCCCCCACCCTTCCTCACCCCAACTCAGCCTCCTCTGCTTCCCACGGCCACAATCTCTTGTCTGGGAAGCACCAGCTGCTTGGATTCCACCCACCTGAACGGGCCGGCTCTCTGAGTGCCATTTGTTGGCTGCTGCTGTTGCTTTTTTTCCACTTCTTTTGATTTCTTCCTTACCTCTCACCACCTCCCCCTCCTTTCGCTCAAATACCTGGCTCCGTGAGCCATCTTGCTTCTTCCTGAGGCGCTGCAAAGCTCCGTTCGAGTGTGGAGCTGCTTCCCGGTCTGGGCTGCCACACTGGTGGGATCCTGGGGCTTTTGTTTGTTTGCTTGTTTTCTTTTCCTTTTCTTGAGTTGGGAGCCCGTTCTGGCCAGGAGGTGTGCGTGGCTTCAAAACTACCTTGGCTTGCACAGACATGCGGATGGATCCCCGAGGGCATTTCTTTTTCCGTTGTTTTTTTTCTTGTTCTTTTTTTTTTTTTAAATTTGTTCTCTTTTCCCTCTTTTTCCCTTTTTGTCTTTCCTCCTTACTCAGATTTTCATCTCTCTATTATCTTCTTTCTCTTTCTGTTCCCTGAATACCTGGCGTTGTATACCTCTACGCCTTCTAGCCAGGCTGTACGGCAACACCTGAGAACAGTTTCCGCAGACCTCACAGCCGCACCAGGGGGATCCCTGGGAACCTTGCTGTTCTTTAACCTTTCTGATTTTTATTTATTCATTCTTTTCTTTTCTTCCTCTTCCCCTTTCTGTTTTTCTTCATTTCATAGTCTCTCATCTCTCCACTTTTTTTTGTTTGTATGTATGTTTTTGGCTCCTGTTCCTCTCTCCCATCTCCATCTTAGCTCCACACATAACAATCTCCCCGCTACATCCGGCCTATCTGCACCATGCGTTTAACATCACACCACCAAGCAGCACGGGCACGGCCTACTGGAACCTGCCCTGTACTGATTACTGACCCGCCCTGGTGGCTGTAGTAAGTGCCACAAACAACCCATCCCAGTAACTTCTCTTCAGCTAGACCTGCCCTGCTGTACCATATCTGAGCGACAGACCCTGCCAATTGGAGAAGGTGAAAAGTATCGCGCCCACAGACGAGCAAACAACAAAGAACACACAGCCCGCCTGCTGAGACATGGCCAAATAAAAAAAAAAAAGGATGAAACAAATAAATCCACAATCAACAAAAGAGAAAAATAACTTCTGAATGCCCCAAAGACAGCAGACAATATCAAAACATTTACAAAAACAGGACAGATGGTTCCAGTAGGTGTCCAAAATAAAACACCAGATGACTTTCCAGTGGAAACAAAGGCACTAGAACTACCTGATAGGGAATTCAAATTTCTAATACTCAGAATTCTGCAAGAGCTGAAGCAAAAAGCAGACACAAATGAGGAAACAATACACAAATTCATGGAAAATACAGACAAAAAATTGTAAGAATTCAATAAAATAACGGAGGAACAAAATGCCAAAATAAATTCACAACTAGAAATTATACAAAAACAACAATTAGAAATCCAAAAGATAAACAACAAGATTTCAGAAATGG